TTTTTCAGTCTTAGAAATATGTGGTATATAAATGATATAACTGTATAATTTGTCAATCGAACTGGGACACTGCTAAGTAGGAAAAGGCAGTGCTAGTAATAATGACATCAGGACATCAGGCATCAGTCAGGACTGTCTTGTATAAACAGGAAAGGATAGTTACCCTATATATAAGGCATCAGCCAGAACCTATCTTTATTCCAATAATTCTCATGAATTCTAGCTCCTTAGCACTGTCCTTTACTTTAATGATTTATTTGCTGAACTTTCTTCTCTTGATACAAAGTGGTTTGTAAGCAGCCTAGAACTCTGACTGTCTCTGGGTTAATATGGGTCTAATTGTCTCCAGATTGCGTGTTGGCTAGAGTCTCCCTTTCCTTTCTCCTTTAACTCCACCCAATCCCTGTCCTGGTATTTCTTCTATCAGACTTTTTTTTTCTCTTCCAAAGAATATTTTTGGCTGATAGAACAAAGCCTGTCAGCACAGATGTGCAGAAATCATTACTAGAGTTTAGATCAGAAATATATTTTCAAGAGAAGTTTTGGACTTTTCTGATGGACTACAATGTTTGTATTTTTGTATGATTTTTAAAATAACACATATGTGATAGGTCTTTGTTCTTGATGTTTTTAGTTTGTCAAGCAGCCTCCTCTTATAGGCATTCAGAAGCATATACATTTACAAAACACAAGACAGATTTTTTTTTTCTTCTCCCTCAACACTTAATTTTTGTGTGTGCATTTATTACCTGCATACCAGCGTCTCCGTTTTATTACAAACAACTTAACCCTACTTAACCCCAACAGCCAAAAGAGAGGACATGGAGAATATTCCTGTTGCAAGTTGCCGAGAAGAATGCTTTATATATCCTCAGCTGTTGTTTCTTTTCCCTTGTGTATGGCATAAATAGACATCTCTAACTTTTATTTTGAAGTTAGTTTTCCACTTTGCCAAAATTGTTTTTGTCAAGGATGCCAGTGATTTCAGTGTTGCCAAATTCAGTCAAAACTTCTGTCATCTTATTTGACCTTTCTTCAGCATTTGGCCAAGTGGATTATTTGCCTCTTGAAAGACTTTCCTTTTGTGTTGCTACATTTTTTAGTTTCCCTCTTTTTTACTGGCTGCTACTTTGCAGTCTTCTTTGTGGGCTCCTTTTCTGTCCAAATCTCAAGGTTTAGAATTGTGAACTTTTTTGTTTTCTTTCTGCCTTGGTGACTCATCCATAATTTAGTACACAGTCTGTATGCATCCTGATGACTCTCAAATTTATGTTTTTAGTTCAAACTTCTCCTCTGAGTCTCCAGTCTCACATATCCAATAGTTTCCTTGGCATCTCTATTTTAACATTTCAAACTTAACACGTGCACAGTGAAACTCTGTTCCTCTTTCTGTTTTGCCTCCAGCCAGTTTTCTACAAGTCTTTTTGTTTCTGTTGCTTAAGCCAGAAATCCCGATTCCTCTTTTTCAACAAGTGTTGTTGATATTCTTTCCAAAAATTATCTTGAATTGTTCCACTCTTCTTCATCTCCACTGCCAGATGATCGTCTATGCTGTCATTGGTTCTTGCCTAGATTGCCATAGCTCTTTCCTGACTGGTCTCTCAGCTTCCCCTCTTGCCTCCATTGAATCCATTTTTTGGTACCATGGCAAGATACAAAGGTAAATTGAAATATATCACTTATTTACTTGAAACTGCTTTGTGATTTCTAATTATATTTAGTAATTCCTTATTGTGATCTGGTCTCTGTCTTTCCAGCCTCATCTTGTGACCTCCCCTGCCCCTGCCCAACTTGTGCACAACTCTTCAGTTAATGGTCTTTTTAAAATTTCTTGAGCCTACATTTTTTCCCACCTGCCTCTACTTAGACCACTCTTACCCCAGTTTCTATAGGACTGGCTTCTTCTCATCTTTAGGCCTTGACTTAAATACCATCTCCTTCTCAGACCATTTTATCTAAAGTAGATACTGCCATTGCTTTTCTATTTCAACTATTTGTTTCTTTCATAATACTTACCAGAGTTTAGATTTATTTTATGTGTTTGTTTTCTTGTGTTTGGTCCCCCATTAAGGTCTTTGAGGATAGAGACTTTGTTTCTCTTGTTCCTTGTTGGATTCCCAGCACTTAGTACAGTACCTGGCACATAGTTGGTATTTAGCAAATATTCGTTGAATGAATAAATGAAAAGTATCAATCTTACCATGTTCAACTTTATGCGTTTATGTATTTTCTTTTTGGGTTTTAACATATCTAGTTTCCTAAAACCAGAGCATCCTACATAAAGAAATTCAGGGCAGAGACAAGATTTCTTAGAAAGATTAAAATAACAGACTGAATAGCATAAATAGCAATAATATCCCAAGCTCAAATTCTAATTTTTAACTCAGGTTTTGCTTCCTACACCACACCCTGGATATGAATTCACATGATATAGATTAGTGTGATGGCTAGAAAAGTTTATATTTTTTAAGTTAATGAAGTAACTGGTTATCGTCACCCTGGTGTTTTTATTAGTGATTCAGATTCCTCTAAGATTCTAAAATTTAAATTCAGCTTTTCAACTCTTTTTCACTTTTCTCCTGCCAAGTATTTTATATCTTTCCCTACCTCTACCACATACATACCTGTTTTAGGGAGACTATTTAGTTTTGTTATCACAGAATTGTGAATGACCACAAAACTTTAGTCCTGGTCACATCATACTGTCTTCCTTGTCAACCAGTTGGTCTTCCCCCAAGTTACCCCATCACTGTCACCTCCTCTGTTCTAGCAGCGCTGTGTATACCTTGAGGTCATTGAAGAAATGAACCGTGTATTATTATATCCCTTAGTTATGGTGCACATAAATTGCTCAATAAAGGGTGACTAGATAAATGTGAATTACCGTGCTATCTCTGTAGAAAATCAGAAAATGACATTTGTGCTACATGGTCTATAGTTTTCTTATTTTCTCTTCTATCTTGCAGTATATTCTATTTACTATATTTTTATTTCCATGCAAAGCTAACACTAGTTATGATTTTCTTATAGCAAACTTCTTGGGAATTTAAGATGCAAGGAAACAAATTTTGTGCATGTATGTTTCAGATATGATCATTCTGTTTCGAATGACAAAGCCCTGATGGTGCTGACTGAAGAACCACTGCTTTATATTCCTCCACCTCCTTGTCAACCCCTGATTAACACAACAGAATCTCTCAGGTGAGTGTTGTAGATTATTGCAGAAGTATCACAGTTGGTTCCCATGTTTGGCTTTGGAACCTAAAAAAGTAATTGTTCAGAGTAACTAAGTGGCTGAGAGAATCTCTGAATTATTTGTTGGATAGACATATCAGTTGTCTAGTATCTCCACCAACCTGATAGAGATGGTGGTGGGTCAATTTTATGTGGTGCTTGCATATTTAAATATGTCTTATTTGAAAACTACAAAATGAAATTAATATTAAAATTCAGGGTGTTAGGCTTGCAGATGATAATGTTCATATCAGAAGGATCTTTTTTCTTCAAATTAGGAAGACAATAATTTGAGGATATGTGATTCTGGAGATACTTTTCCATTATCGCACCCTTCTTTATCAACTTTTGCCTTGCATTTTTTCCTGTGATTTTAGACCTTATCCTTAAACCTTAAAAACTGCCTCAGGCTTTTTGTGATAAGTAGTAATCAACTACAGTTAAATAAGCATAGTCTAACATCTTTATAATTGTTCTAAAAGACAGACAAAATAGAGGAAGTTATGTTATGAACTAGGTTTTTATTTCCTGTGTTGAAAAATTTGAATTATTTTTTTCCCCAGGCAATTGAGTTCATTCTTTTCCTTCTCCCCAAAGAGCATGATTTTCAAAGCCTTTATTTAATGCATCTATTTGTTGTTAGGGGTCCTATGATTTATTAAGCTCTTTCCAGTGTCTTAGATGTTTCTGTGTACATAGCCCAAGAACAGAAACAGGAAATGTGTTTTTTATGGAAAAACCTTTGCATCCAATTATTTATATTTGGCAGGTATTTAGCTGTGATTTTCTTTGAATTTTGAACTCATGATTGAGGAGGTTGCCATATAAAAATGCATGTCATTAAAAACAGCTTAACATTAAGTATCTCAGCTTTTTCAAATAAAAAGGCAATATTGAGTCATCAGGCACTTGGAACGCTCTTTGGAACATACAGAGTGATTAAAATCATTTCCAACCAAGGGGTGAGACATTTGTTTCTATGAAATATGTTTAATTAATTAAGTTATATTTTATAGGTTAAATCATGAACTTCGAGGGTGGGTTCATAGACATGAAGTAGAAAGGACCAAGTCAAGAAGAATGACAAATAATCAACAGAAAACCCGTATTCTTCAGGTTTGTTTCTGCTTGTCTTTGAACAATGGTTGACATATTTGTTGGAAGGCTTCCCCCTGGGTTGCTCTCTTCCCTGGAAAATTTGGGAAGCTTGAACTTCAGTCCCTTCCCGCTGCCTCCTGCTGCTTCTGATACAGCTGTCATTGCCACTGAAGCCCCCCTCCCAGGTTTTATAGCACTAGTTTAGGTTTTATAGCATTAGTACTGGCTGCTCAGGCATGGTGCTATTTCCTGTTCTCACCTTCAAATTTGCTTTCAAGCCAGGAGTTCCTATGCACAGATATCTGTAACAAATGTTTTTGGCACAATGGTATATAATAAATAATACTGTTTATCTCCTTTCTTCTTAGAGCTTTTCAAAAATAGTGTTGAAACATGGGGCAATTTAGAAGTAAAGGCACATCCATGGAGGGCATTTCTGAACTTAGACATGTACCACTATGGGTTACTGACAACTCTTAACTAGAACTGTTCAGTAGGGTTTCCAACTCAATGTTGTTAGCCACAAAGCATCATTTATAGTCGTTCTCCATCATTCATCAAATATTTATTACTATTTCTGAAGCACTTAAACTGGCAACTGGCATACTGCAGTTTCCTAACAGACATTACCTATGATAGTAATGATGAGCCAGGGACTGTTCTAGATCCTGAGAATAACAGTAGTGAGTATCATAAAGTCCCTGCCTTCGTGGACCTTGCATTCTAGTGGGAGAGCTAGACAATAACCAAGTAAATAAATATTCACATACCCTCAAAATTAAAGGTAGATTCTCTAAAGAAAAATAAAGCGGGTTAGGAGGTTAGAATTTGAATTGAGAAATGAGTTACTATTTTAGATCGAGTAGTCAGAGAAGGCTTCTCTGAAGAAGTTCCACTTTAAAAAGATATTGTCTGAGTAATTAATGCTAGCTGTTATAACAGCCTCAAAATCTCAGTAGCTTAATAGAATAAAAATGTGTTTTTTTCACTCACACAAAATTTCACATAGTTCTCTAGGATGGCTTTCTTCCAAGCAGTTAGTAAGGGATCCAGGCTCCTTCTGTTGTGTAGCCCCAATAACTTGAAATCCTTTGCTTCTAGCTTTGGGTGTTAAGGAAGAAGGAGCTTTGTAGATTACACAAAATGTTTTAGGGATCAGGCCCAGGTTTTAGCCAACTAAACATTGGCTAAAATGTTTAGTTGGCTAAAACTGTCACTTTGCCTAACCTGCTGCAAGGGAAACTGGGAACATGTAGTCCTGTGTGCTCAGGAAGAAGAAACAGTTTTGGTAAGAACATTGCTTTTGCTGTAGGCAGAAAATGACAGAAGTAATAATGTAAAGGTTTAGGGGAAAGTCTGGAGAAAGAGCTTCAAGACAAAGAGAAGAGCCAATGTAAAGACCCTCAGGAGGGAACAGTTTGCATATTTAAGAAACATCAAGAAGCTTAGTATGGCTGGAATGCAGGGACTGAGGGGAGAGTGGTAGATGGGACCAGAGAGGCAATGGGGGTGAGATTATAGTGAACTTCACAGGTTATGGTGAAAACTTTGGGTTTGTTCCTAGTTAGAAGGGAACACCATTGAAAGGTTTGAGCAGGGGAGTGATTTGATATGATTTATATTTTTAAAAATCGCTAGGTGCTACCTAAAGTAGACCATAGCAGGGAGCACGACTGGAAGGAGGGATACCAGTTAAGAAGAAGCCATTTCAGTAGTTTAGGTAAGAGATGGTTGTGGCCCATACTAGTATGGTCGCTGTGAAGGTGGAGGAATGTACTTGGATGCCAAATACATTTTGAAAGTAGAGCTGCTAGAAATTGTCGATATAAA